GAGGACTTCAGCAGCTCGCTACTCAGAGACCCTCCACACTTCCCCTCTCATGCCCTGGGACGCTCCAGAGCCCACAGCTAATCTGCATCCTGGCACTGTTGGTGAGATGTCAGTGAGAGCCTTTAGCAGAAAGGAAGGACATGCTTTGATGGTTTGCCACCAAGGACAGTCTGGCAGATAGTGGAGCGTCTCCTGATCTCACTTCAGTGGCTCTGAAATGATTGAAAAACTTTTGCAAAGGCAAATAATTCAAGTTGTGCTTCTCTTCCCTCTTCTGTCTGCAGGTAGGCAGGTCCTAAGAGGTTTTAAAGTCACAGCATTAATTCGGGGACCAAGCCTGCACTCCCCAGCCTGAACTGTGATTCAGTTCAGCATGCTCAGGCCATGACATGCTTCAAGCAGGGGAGGCACATCATTGGTTGAAAGGCTTGCCCAGGGACTTGGGAGAGGCAGTGCCATGCTGCGATCTTTGGCACAGTTGGCCATAAAACAGCTATGTCTTTGGCTTAAACTTTTCAAATGACACTGAGTAGTTCTTGGGTTAAGTGTGAAATCCAGGGGATATGTTCAATGGGCTTAGGGTGATGATGGAAGGGGGTGAGTAGGCCTGGAGGTCAGGGGACTGACAACCCTTATTTTTCTACTTGAAAAACCACTTATAAAAGAAGAATGGCAGCGTTCCAGAGCAGATGACGGCAAGTGGAGGTAAGAAGAGGAGAGGGGTGGGCTGGCTGTTCAGAGAGCATGACTGGGTTGGCCACTTGTTCTAGTTAAAAGGGCTTCCCACCTTCCCTGGTGGCACAGTGGGTTAAAGCACAGCACGAAGAAGGTAAAGCCACTTCAGCATGAGTTCGATCCTAGCCCTGGAGGTGATCCACATGGCTCAGCAGATCTCTCCTGACCCACCTGCTGCTCCCCTCAGGAGTGTACTTCATCAGTCAGCCTGTTCAGTCACCCACTCTGTCTGATGACTCCTCTCACCGCCCCTGCACCTCTGGCCTGTATGCAAAAATAAATCTTAAAAAAAAAAAAAAAGGCCTTCCATGACCTGCACTTCCCTTCTCTCCCCAACCAGATGTGTTTTCTGACCTGCTCCATTTTATTCCCATCATACCTGTCCATGGCACTTAGCATTCTGTACCCATAGTAGAAACGGATCCCTGAACCCAAGGTAGACTGTGAGGCTTCCTGACAGGAATTCAGAGTATTTCTGGTTTTGAACCAGTTTTCCGACAAACAGCACAGCTCCTGACAGGGACAGCTGTGTCTTTTGTCTCCAGCTCGCTCTCCTATAGAGGTTGAGTGATGTGGCTTCCAAGAGCTGAAATTGATGGAACATTAAGCAATGGAACATTTTATGACCCATGCTTTTGAAAATAAATTTAAAAATAGTGCAAATTTAGTAACATCAACTTCACAGCCAGGAGCAATTCAAGATGCAAAAGCTAATTCCCTTACCTCTTTCTAAGGTATTCCCATTTGTGAATCAGATAACTGACATGCAGAGATTAAAGTCACTTGCCCAATATCACAGTTAATTAGTGGTAAAGTCTGGACTTGAACCTGGGTCCCTGATTTCTAGCCTGAACTGTTGCATGATTTAATTTGATTTGTTCAGGTCATGGCACTGTTTCAAGTCATGTGTTTCTAAAAGCTTAGAGGATGAAACTATAATTGGCAGGCCCATTGTTCCAAAAAACAAGATCTAATTTTTGGTGTTTGCCTTTTCACATACTCATCTGGTGGTTCCGAGGCTCTGGCCTGTCCCGTGGGCTGCCAGGCTAGAAGACTTGGATGAAGTTTCTTCCCTTTTATGTCCTCCAGGATGCCAGAGGATGCTGGCAGCTCCCCCCAGACACAGGTCCATAAAACCCTTGTAAACACAGCTGGACAGATGGTGAATTTGCTTGGCATTTGTGGTTACTGGGATTTATGTAACTGAAGCCCTGATTTCATTAGTCTCCCACTCAATCACTAGCTCAGAGGCATTTGACAAATACTGGGGAGATTCCAATGTCTTTCTAGGAGCAGGAACAGAAACAGCCCTAAAAATTTATTCTCTTTAGGACATCCAAAATGGCCCTACTGTGTGACAGGTGGACTTGACAATTAAACAAGTGGAACTATGAGAACAGGGAAGTTGCCTAAGCTAAGCTCGGGGTGGGAAAGCATTCCCAGAAGAAGGGCCCTTTCAGCTGAGACCTGGGTGGGGATGGCCTTCTCCTTCCAGATGAAGAGGAATGGCAACCATAGAGAACTGGAAGTGAGAGAGACCACAGCATGTAGGAGGGAACTGAGAGAGGTTCTGTGTTCTTGGAGCTTGGGGTTTTCAAGGGTTGGGGGAGAGAGGGTGCAGACTAGTAACGTAGGCTGGCGGTGGGGAGGAGCTTGGGCCCACCGCCCTAGAGCCTTGTGAATCCATGCAGATGCCTACTGAAGTCCGCTTTCCAGACATTTCTAAGTTTCACTAAGTACAGCTCACCTTCTGAATTGTATTCCCCTTTCTCCCTTCTACACAGACTCCACTCCCTCACGCTATGGTGCCAGGTTTTGGCACGTGCTGAAGTTTCAAAGAAGCAAAAGGCACATGTCTTGCTGCCCAAGAATGAAACTCACTTTTGTCAGCTCTTTGCTCCCAACACTTCATCACCTCATTAATTTCTTAGGATCTCTCACTTTAGCAAAGACGGTTATTCTTTCTCTACAAATGTAGGGGGTCCAAGCTTAGTGAGGTGCTGACTGTATGGTGGGGCTAAGTCAGCACTTCCAATGGCCTGTGTCTTCTGTGCCACCCCAACAAAGGAGATTGATGTGTGCATACCTTGGTTCACTGGCGTGACAGTGCAGAGTAAAGGCAGCCTGGCAGAAAGGGCAAGAGCAGGCTAACTGATTTCACAGAGGAGGTAGGCCTTGTTGGGTTTCTAGACACGTGACCAGGCCACACCCCATGAAAGGACCCCTTTCAATATCCTATCAGCAGTTTGCAAAGCTCCAACATCCTGCATGTCTCTGGCTCACATGTCCCCCACATGTTTTTTGGAAATTAGGCAGCTGAATGGGAGACCTTGTGTGTCCTGCTTCAGTAGAGCCCAGTACAATGCCAGGCACTTAGCAGCACCCAGTGTTGATCTGTTGATGAATAAGCGAATGAACTTCATTGTTAGCAGTTGGTGGCCTGGATCCTGGCTGGCCTAGAGCCTGGGCCGTATCTGCTGTCCAGTTCCTCAATCACTGCTGGCTCCCACCAGCCTTCCTTCCGCCTCTGCGTCAGGCGGAACACGAATTTAGCTAAATCTTGTGGTCTGAGAGGTTCCCAGCAATTTGGCAATATCTGTTGAAATTAAAAATGCATCCACATTCTGACTCAGCAAATCCATTTGGAGAAATGCAGGCAGCGGCAGGCAGTACCGTGGCTCTGACCACTCTGGCCAGCCTGTGAGCAAAGTGAGAAACCCCTATTTGTCCAGGAGAGGGAAGGAGCAAAGGAAATCTCCTTCCTATGTGTGGGAGTTGATGCACCCCTACAAAGAAACAAGGTAGATCCCGGCGTTCAGGCTTGAGGTGCATGCCCAGGGACTTTGTTGAATGAAAAAGCAGGGTACCCACAGAACAGAGTAGGCTCCCTTCACACCAACACACAGGTGAGCTTCCGTATGCCGTCCCAGCCTACAGGTCAGCACTTCCCATGGAGCCGCACAGGCTTCTCACTGAACCCCTCGGAACTCTGGGGTGACCCCAGCAGAGGTGGCAAACAGTGTCTAGTGGGATGTCAGGGTGTGTTATGTGTAGGTAGGTGTGAACACTTTACACAGATTATCTCATTAAAGCTTACACAACCCCATGAACTGGTTCTAACCATCTGTTGTTTTGTAACAGAAAGCTAAGGTACAAAGAAGTTAAATAATCGGCCAAAGATGACAGTATAAGTGGAGGGTCATGACTTAGATCTCTCGTAGTCTGACCCCCGCCCCCCCCCGCTCCCCCCCACTCCGCAACACAATGCACTTGTCATTTCTCATGAAGAAACAACCCCCTGGGAAGTCTCAGATCCCAAATGTTGCCTCATCACCGGGTCCCGTGACTATGTCGGTCGAGGGCTGACATCCGAGCCAAGCTCGCCCAGACCACGGGAAGCCCGGGGCTAAGTGAGGGGCGGGACCTCGTCTGCAGCCTGGGCGCGGAGGCCGCGCGCCCCAGCACCGATGCACGTGGTCGGGAGGCGGAGGCCTGCCCCGCGTCCCGGGAGGGCGCCCGGCTGACGAAAGGCGGCTCCCAGCTGGGCGCCGAGGCGGGCCCGGGAGACGGCTTCCCGC